TTACTATTATTATTATTATTATTATTATTATTATTATTATTAGAGGCCTTATTAGAGGTCTCAGTATCATTATTGTCGTTATTATTAGAAACGTTATTATCACTGCTATCAACACTACTATCAGCAGCACTACAACAGACGGTTTCATAAAATTGAAGCTAACATTTGAGTAATTCAATTTCTATCTACAGAGAGTATTATACGATACGTGGTCAACTTTCGAATCTCGAAACATGCCCGTCATGAAGTACGAAGAATTGTCGAGAATCACTGCAGTATTTCCCAGATTATCCTATATGCTGCTATTGCTGGTGTTATTTTTGAGTGAACTCACTGTAATTCACTCCTCCCGACAGGTAACAAACATTATCCGTTTAATAAATGAATTATAACCTTAACAGTACGAGAAATTTCAGTAATAGTAATAATAACAATAATAATAAAATATGATAGCAACGATAGGAACGGCCAAAAAATAATGATCGTTCCAATGATTTTAGATGAATCGACTTTGTGAACCGCCCAAGCACATCGATGAATTGCCGAAGTTTGCACAGGACGAACTCATTGAAACATGGTCAATTCACAAGAAATCTTTCATCAACCTAATTAATCACCAAATAACATTCAATTAGGATCAGCATGGTAGTTTCGAATAGTGAACACTGAAAATGTATCACATTTACTAGTGCTCATCTACCTCAAAATATCTCTTGCTAGACGTTTTTATATAACACAAGAAACATCAGCAACAATTATGTATTCCAATAAAGAAAACAAAAAATTATGGAACTGATAATCACAATAAGAAATACAAATTGAGAAAACTTTAAGGAAAACATACAAGAGCGGACAGCCGTGTGATCAACAGCTATTGATAACAGATGATGTACTAAGTGCTGTGGATATATTCGCGCAACGACACATCATTGCAGCGCCGTACAAATCTCGTCAGCAAGCAAAAACTATCAGTGAGTACATTGATGAACGTGTGATTGAAGCGATATTGATCAACAATAACAACATGATTAATGTTCGATAATGTGTATATAACTCATTTTCTTTCAACATAATTCTACAATTGCTGAAAATTTCAGTAAACGATTTAAAAGAACAACGTCAACGGAGATTCCAGAAGTCAACACTGATAAGTGCTGAAGAACTGGACGAAGGAGAGGAGGAAACAATTACTAGAACTGTTGTAAGTTGAGTTTATAGTCGGCAGATTTTTCGTTTGGTTTATAGCCACCAAAGTTCGGTCGTTCGTGACCACCGACCGAGTAGATTCGTTCGGTGACCATCAGTCTAAATCATCTTGTATGACCATTTACACATATAATAATGATTGTTGCAATAAAAATGAATCTAATCATAATTGAATAATCATAATCACCATTATTATATTAGTCACAATTATCTTCTTTTCGTTTCGTCTATTTTCCCCATTAAGAATCTATGACCACATCGGATTTTGCATTATTTATTTATTTACAATTACAATAAACTTACAATAACTCATTACAAGTCTATGCCTCTCTCTTATCACTAATGTTACATTCCTCCTTCACCCATATCTTTCTCTCGGCATAGCTAAGACATCAGCGCAGGGAATCACCCGTCTCCGTGAAATTCCAATCTCGATTATTGATTTCGCGATGATAAAGTTATAGGGTGAGTCTCTCACATTATCCAACGATTTTTGTCATATTTTATTGAAACTGCAACCTACACATTCCACCTGGTATTATCACCTCAAAGCTACTACTGGTTGCAATTTTGAGTAGTTGAGTGAAACTATAATGGTTGAAATACGAATAATAATGATAATCACTATGTTTTCTGTACTGATTAATTTTTAGGAAATAAGCAATACTGAAAACGAACACGAAGCTGATCGCTCGCCATATGAATCAACAATCAATAAGGTCATCACAGCAAGTCGTCGACCAACAAAAGAAGATGATAGCAAACGTTTTATACCTATTGAGGTTGAACCAGCATCAGAGAGATACTCAGTCGACGTTTCACTGCCATCATCGACTCCACCTGATGACAATAATGATGATTATTCGGATTATTTGGATGAAAGATTCTCAGCTAGCGGTAGTACTCGGCCAAGTCCTGATCTAAGATGTATTGATAATACACATATTATTATATACTCAACAATCAATTGTTTTAATGTAATCATTATAGACACACTCAATACCTGCAGTGAGATTCTCGCGCTAAACCACTTTTTGTTTGCTATTTCTTGATCATTGTGCGCACGTCCACGTTTCGTTGCCCTTATCATCGCTCTATTGACAAATTTTGATTCAGTCACAAAGCTGAAAGCAATCCATACTTTTATAATGAAACGACGGAATTTCGTTATGATTAAATCACTTACAACTTTCATGATTATTATTGATATCGTTCTTATGATGTGCAATGAACTAGGCCAATTTTCAAGACCTAACCTCATCGCAACAATTACTCACAAGTCCATCACTACCAACAAAATCACCAGACCTTCAAACAACAGATTCTTTCTCCACAACCGATGATGACAGTACAATTGATATTTATATCAAATATGAGCCACTACTTGAGGTTTTGTTTATTGTCAATATTAACGTTAATATTGTTCTTAATATCATCATTATCAATGACAAATGCGATCACCATTATTATCGCAATTGTTTCCGTTGCACAATCAAAAATGAATTAATAATACTTTATTTCATCAGTGCTTTTGATTTCAGCCACTAAGTATGAATGACGAAGGAGTAGATGAATTCCTACGCGGTACTACGGCAAAAGTGAGAAGAAAATTCAAGAAGACGATAACTGATCCAGACATTCCATCTGAAGGCTTACGTCGCGAAAAGGTAGCTTTTGTAATTTTCGAATTAATGATCTCTTCTTTCATTCAATTGCCTCCGTTCATTCATGCTACGATATTATTATTTTTCAACAGTGAAGTGTAATCTTTGCTTTCAGCTTCATCTGTTAGCTGTTTCATTACTTAATTCAACTCAACTGACTGCTTACAACAAATATGCAACACGAAGGCGTTTGTTGGACCGTCAACATCTAACAAGACTTGCTAAACTATCCAAGATGGCACGAACTGCTTACGGTGTTATCAGTCGTGCTGAACCAGAATATCAGTTTGAGGTTCGTTTATTTGTTCGTTCGTTTGTATTCACTTCTCTTTCGAGTCATCGCTCTTTTTTTTGTCTTCACTGTCTTTATTTGGCACGCTGATTTTTTTCAAATGCGCAGTTTTTTTTTTCAGGTGGCCAAAAGTTTTCCGATCGAAATTCGCAAAGAACTAAAAAGATTTGCCACTTCAAACAGATCTGCGGCAACCGAAAGACTACTAAAATTAATACGACTAGTGTGAATCATCCTTGTTGTTGCTGGTCTGCATGAAACAATCAATCACTCATAATTTGTAGGCAATAAACGCATTCTACATAATCCTCTGTTAGAGTGGTTCTCAACCTCTTCCCCACTTTGCACCTCCTAAAAAATTTTAAGCTGTCCTCGCACCCCCACAACAATACTTAAAATGTCCTCGCACTCCTCAAAACACCCACACTGTACCTCTCGCCCACTACAGTGAGAGTCCATAGTGCGGATAAGTGTACACCGTTAGAGTACGTTCTAGCCTTTTCAAAAACACACTGAAGTCCATCCTCACCTACTTTACACATATGCGTGCGTTGAACTCCGTCCTCGCCTACTTCACTCCATACAAAGTAGAAGCTTATCTCGCACCCCCATCCCATCTCTCAGTCACCCCCTCGCATCCCTTCTTACCCACTCTCTTTCGCACCCCTGGGGGACGAGGTGCGAAAGAGAGTGGGTAAGCTCAATTGAGAAACCTTACTCTATTACAACCGCTATAAACTGGGTCCCTAAAAAGTGCTTCTCGACTCGCGTCTAACACTGTTGATGAATGCAAAATTATCGAAAGCTTCAGTGGATGTGTAAGACCAAAGCATTAGCCTGACTCTGCACACTACAAGCCTAAGCCTTGACTGCTCACACTCTGAGACAATGAACGAACTGATTAATCGCTTGTTCAGCTTAATTAATCGCTCGGTTTGCAAAGTCACAGTGCGGTTCAGAATCGTCGATTAAGTTCGCTGCTTCAGCGGTGTAATAATTGTGCAAAATCAAAGTATACGCACATAGAATTTATTAACATTTCGATGATGAGCAAAAACGCACGGCCAGTCAAATCAGTTGTTATTATAACCATACATGATGATAAAATGGTGCTGCTTAGATGATGAATTAATTCCATAACAGAATGCGAACAATGTGGACGAGAAAAAAAGCCAAATGTTGTTTGAAAAAGGTTAAGAAAAGACGAAATAAATGCTAGAAATGACCAAAAACAATGCGACATAGTGATTTTCGAACGTATATATATATATAATAAAACAAAATGTAGTCGATGATAGTAACAATGGTGATTATATCGTATGATACTCGTAAATGATGACGATGAATCCGCAAAAATCGTTAGAATAAGGCACTAGATTCGTTGAGTATTTTCGTGGTAAGCAAATGCGAAAAAAAAATAGAAATTGACGGCACTTGATAGATGTGAAATTGCCCAATAAGGCAGGCGACAGTTCAGATATATGTGCATGTATTGGACACGATTAAAATGGATTGATTGAGTAGATGAGTTGATCAAAAGATGATATTCAGTCATGTTAGCGCAGCATTGGAAAGAGTGATTTAAATTGCTGGTGACTAGAAATGGCAGAGATTACTCATTCGAATTTCGGATGGTGTAGCGATGCTTAGATAAAATGAGAATGAAAATAGCGAGGAAAGTGACGACGATCTGAGCGGTAAAATTCGTAAAAATAATCAAAAGGATTTTTACGAATTTTTCCGAGGACAGCAACATCAAACAACTAAGCGATCAATCGTTTTTCCTCACATACTTTAAAACTGACGACTGACTAGATAACGAAATATTAATATTGCCACTCAAATGGCGCAAAGAAGAATAAAGAAGGAAGAAAATGATGGAGAGAAATTGGGTAAGACATGAGAATGATGAAATTTATCGGCTGTTTGTTGTAAAGCTTTGGAAGAAGCAGATATGATCCATCTTAATTTCAAAAATCGAACGTTTAAGCTCAGTTGATTCCCAAACACTACAAAACTTAGACTTAATGAATTCTAATGGTGCACTTCATGGAGAGCCATCAGTAGAAACGTCGGTCGATTGCGCGAAAATTTACTGCTCGATGTTGGTAACCAAGTGACCGATGATGATGGCCACAACGGAGTATGACACAAAAACAACGAAAAATATTATGTCATGCTGAAACGCTGAAGTTGATCAGGAATTACAATGATCACCGTGATAATGGCACTAAAGATTCGCGCATCCTTGACCTATAGAACTTGGCTATACAGTTTGCAAATTTCTCCACTGATATCGAAGTGTTGTAAAACTTTGTGCGATACCAAATAAAACGACAAAAGAAAGTGATCGATTGTGTTTCTAAGAGCTGAAAATAAGCATAATGATGATAAGAAGACTGAGATTGTGACTTAAAAAATGACATTACTGACGGTCAGTTGTCTAAATAAGATGAAAATGCACTGAAACGATAAGATAATTAGGTGGTAGACCGAAATGTAGCAGAGAGACAATTCTTAAGTAAACATGCTCAGAGCAACTTATCAAAATATCTATCAACATCTATCAATAATAAGAAAACGGTGCTTTGATAAAATATATAATTAATAATGAACATGCTATAGCAATAGTAGTAATGATAATAATGATGAAGCATAGAAGATAAAAGCACGATCAAAACGTCGTACATATTTCCAATACAATTAAATAATTGGTGCTTAATTTCAGTTCTCCTTTCACAACATCGATAAAAGAGTCAATCAATCAGCCGAATATTTTCTTGTCTGTTTCATTTTTTCAGTAAGAATTTACGCCTCGCTTGCATCATCAACTCCATCATCAAGAGGACCTGAAAGTCGGATTCATTTTGCATGCTCAAATTTCATTGATGAAAAAAGAAATCCCAAAGCAACCATCAAGCAATGATTCCTACTCGTTCATTCATTTATCCATCAATAATTAGAAATCCTCTGTAGTTAACGATGGATACTTTCAATTTCATGTCTAATTTATTGCAAACCAAGCAACGCAAATGCATGCCAAACACACACCCGTACACAACAAAACTGATCTACTCTGCAAAACAAATATTTCGGAAGCTGTCTTCACTCAGAAACGGACAATTTAAAGACCGCGAAAATAAACTAAGAAAATAAAAGTACGGTAAAGACAGATAGGTGTAGCCACACTCATTAGTTAACAATTGTGAAATGGGGAAGAAATCGAGTTAGAATAATTTACAAATATTTCAAAGTTGGAAAATGGAAGCAACTATGAATCAAATCCAACGGCTGAATATAAAAACAACTGACTCAATCGACAAACAGCAACAGAAGAAGAAGAAGAAAAACACATAAATGAACAAAATGATTTACAGTCGACGTAGCATTTTTCAAAATTAGCAACTTATTTTCACATATCAAAATCCCAAATCAGAAAAATATATGGCCAAAGCATATTTTTTTAAAAAATTCACCAATTTTTGTTTCTTATTCAGTAGAAAGAGCACCATCATCGTCTCCTATAAAACCATAATCAAAAACAATAACATTTTCCTCGATTCATCAAATTCCCCCTATTGCTTATCTTCATCTCGATCTGTATTCACAATAACTTTATGGAATACCAATTCTTATGACAATGTTCAAGGTTAGAGTGTTCGTTCATTCATAATGAACATTATAACAAATAAACAATTACTATCACAACTATAAGGTAGAAAATACTCGCAAACGATAATATATGGTTCTCTCTCAATAATTTAATCGCTGTGTAATGTAAAGTACTCCGCAAATTAGATTTGGACCTCAAGATTAAATCATATAACAGTGATAACGATGATACTAACTACTACTAATAATAATGAAAAAATAATTCACAATATACTTAAACACACAATAACGTGCAAAACGATCAGAATATGAATATTTTCGTGCTATTCATTTGGCAAAAAACAAACAATAAAAACGTATAAACGTTGGCAGACTGATGCATGGATCAATATCAATATTGAGCACTTTCATTTGGCATTCAACATAATAACAGGTACATATTACTTTGTTTATCTATTGTTTGAACAGATATTCAGTCCATTTTTGGGTATAACTTGAAATTCTTCAAACTAATTTGTGAAAGACAACAAAACAAAAGTAATTGCAAACGTGGTCGAATCAAATCGAATCAAACAACTCAAAGTCAAATGAAAATCAGGCAAAATCAACTAATCAGAAACGAACAATCATGCAAAACCCACGAATAAAAGCACTGACCTTCAATATTCAATGTGAGTTCCACATTCGCCTCGCCAGCTTCGTTCTTGATATTGCACGTGTATGTGCCACTGTCTTTTGCTTTATAATTCTGGAAGAAACATGAGAAATTTTTTATGTGTTTGAAAATATCTTTATCGCTAAGAAATAATAATTATATGAATGAATGTGATGAAAAGGAACGAGGAAGTGAACCTTAAGTTCCAGCTGGGCTGTGAAAGTGTTAGCACCACCATCGGGCGTTAGATTGAACTTGATACGGCTCGATTCCTTCATTTTCTTACCTTTCGGATTCAACCAAATCACCTTGAATTATTCACATCAATAATCAAAAAAATGAAAAAGATTACGTTTACATACATATCAGCAATACAACATAAAGGATGATCAACCAAGTATCCAAATGAAATCCACATATGTATATCACTGATTAGATACGTCACTCAATTATACACTAAAACTTCTATTGCCATTAGCCACACACCTCAGGATTCTGGTCAGCCTGGAATCCAATATCGAACATAATCGCTGGATCACCCGACTCGGATGTCTTCTGAAGAATCTGTGGCTTTCGTGTGAACGTCGGTGCACCTTGTGGCACTAAAATGATTAATTATAACAGTTATATGCTCATTTTCAAACTCAATTTCCAGTTTCATCAACCAGTCAAAATGATTTTCTTAAGCACCTTCAAATTTCACAGTGAATGTTGCCGTCAGTTTTCCGGATTCATTTTTGGCAGTGCATACGAACTGACCAGCGTCCTTTTCTTTCGTTGGCTCCTGAAATTATTTCAGTTTCTTACCCGACTGGAAACAGTGACAACCAGTAAACAATGAAAGATACTCGAAAAGCAAACCTTAATTTCTAATGCAGCATAATACACTTGACTCGGCTCTTCTCGCAGTACAATCTTGACACGGTCTGATTCGGCAACAATTTCATCACCCTAAAAAACAATATTCGTCAAAAATGAACTTCGTTTACTTGCTTATTCTAAAATACTCATTCGTGCATTAGGAATACGTCTAATTAACAACGCGTAAATCGATTTTGACCAGCACCTTTTGCCATACAAACGTTGGCTTTAGGATCGATTTAGCACGGAATTCCATAACCATTACTTGGCCATCATCGCGAGATGAAATTTGTGGTTTCTCAACGAAAGTCGGAGCACTAAATCCTGAAGAAAAATAACTGACTTAACAATTAACTATAAAGTACTTGCAATTCTAAAGTCAACTGAATGATTATCATATTGATTAATTAGTAAACATAAAGACGAACCAGTTAATTTGAGGTTGAAGTTGGCGTTACCTTTACCGTGAGGATTTACTATAGCACAACGGTACGCACCGGCATCACTATCCGCAAGATCCTTCAATTGCATTAAATATCATTTGACTTTAATGAGTGATGAGTGCGATTATGATGAATAATGCTTGACTGATTCATCGACTGAATAGAAAAAGATGATGAAACCTTAATCTGAAGGATAGCCGAGAAGGCATCATTTCCTTTATTGTCCAATCGAAAACTGAATCGATTATCTTGTTTCAGTTCGGTTGTATCATAGAACCATTTAATATCGGGAATGGGTTGTGCTTCAAGGAAGCATTCCAACTCCAGAGATCCATCATCATTTTGACGTGCAACTGGTTGTTGTGGGAAATGTGGAGCTTTACCCTCGGGCATTTTCGACTGATCAGCTTACCGGAAAAAAAAACGTTAGATCACAGATCGCAACACAGCACACCAACCACAAACCACTTTGAGTCAAACAACTTGTAAAGAGGTAAGGTACAATAAGTATCCTCTAGGTGCAATGCTCACATAAAACGCAGTTTGTGTCTGCCTCATCTCTACTTTTAAAGGCTCCTAGTAACAATAAATCAATGGATGGAAGGGATAGGCGCAAGGATTGAGACATGGACGGATGGATCAATGAAAGAATAACTGCTACTACCAATCCACCCACCTCGAGGAATAATGATGAACTGAAATGATATAGATGAATGATGCTAACTCTTCAACTTCAAGATTTCAATCTACGTTAAGACACAACCAACTATCTAGAACTCCCGCTACGCATATTGCACTATTTACATTATTATTCTATGAGAACTCTTTAATAGCTTATCCCACTATCCTCACCTCATCCATGAGTCTCTTTCTGCTTCTACATCTCTTCTTAAATTCATACTTCTTTAAGCTCTGTTTACAACAACTACAGCTAGATCCTCCTCATATCCATCTATACATCCATCCATCCATCACTTCACCCGAGTCGAAATTACACAACGTTATCGTCGACAACTACAAATTCAATAATAGTATCCATCTCAAAATGCATATATTTTTATATACAACATACACAAATACACTCTTCGTGTATTACTTTACACATCTAAATATTCAGCCATATAAACCTTTCGATATCTCCGTAGAATAGTGCTAGTATTCATTTGTACAAATTTTTTTAACTAAACAAACAACAAACAAACTCAAACAGAAATTTGACACGGAATGTACGCATTTCGTTCGCATATTTACTCATTTAGTTAAACGAGAGAAATGAGTACAGATATGAATAATGTCCACATTATATCTAAAGACGGAGCTGCTCGTAATTGAGTAGGAAGATTTTAAGTGAAAATTATAGACGATACGTGTTATGATGATATTGATAATTGTGTGATGGTAATAAATAAATAAACTTCGAGAAATGGAGAGGATAACAAATTTATAAGGAAAAAAATCGAGATGAATGCAGCAAACAAATGATGTTTCGAGATAATCTGGCAAAAGGAATGCCAAATAGATGAGTATTCCCCCTTTCCCATCCTCTTTTCTACCCCACTAAGAGCTGATGGGCACGACTTTCTTGCGTGTTACGGGATTAGGTGAAACTTAGAACCGACCGATTGTAATAATGTTATAGAAATGAACCGCTGACGGATATATAGGTGAAAACAATTTTGCAAGCTTATGATCCAACAGTAAAAAGGTGCAATAGGATGAAGGTTTTTACACAAAATTAAAGTTAGCATTCTCTAGTTTCACTTCGTGTTACCTTGTCAGCTCAACTCGATCTGCTTGAAGAAGGTACGCAAATTAATAATAGTATTGCTGATGCTACTACTACAGCAGCAGCAGCATCTTATAACTGTCTATGAGGCTCTACTGGTTTGAAGCGAAACTGAATATTCCGCTTATATATACGTATAAATATTCAGACCTCGACGAATAGTTGCTAGCTGAGCAGAAGCGTGGGTGAAAATGGATATATGTGTAGATGGATGGATAAAGGGATGGAAGTATGGAGAAGAATGGATGGGATAAAGATAGATGGGATAGAATAGACGAAGGATTAAGAAATAAACATTGGGTGTTATGCAATAAACTGAAACGTGGATCAACTGAACATCAAATACAAGAGTAGAGCAATAAATACAAGATCTACGCAGGTGAACAGATAATCACTGATACCCATTCATGTGCATATCAAAGAGTTCAAGAAGATTTGTTTAAGAACAGAATATGCAATGAAATGTGATATGGCAGGCTCAACAATCATAATGTAAGTGTGAATAATTGATTTCTATCAGAAATGAGCATATCTACAAATGTGTTCAATGAAAGTTGATGAATGGTTTTAGGAATGAATGGACGTATGAAATTCGTTATTCAGATATCAACATGTATTATTCAGAAAAGCTGAAGAAAGTGAAAAAAAGAAGATAAAATCAAATGAAGCAGTAAGGACAGTTTCCAGTTGCTAACTGAAGTTACTTTCTAGGATTCGTACAACTTAACAAGAATGTAACTAGTTATCCTATAAGTTTTATGTTATTGCTCTCAATGAACCTGCTCCTGCTATGGTTCCTTTTCTTTAAAAAAATTCTTTTCTCCATGTAAATCCCCATCTTAACACATGATAACGAGAAGTCACATGCTTAACACATATGATAAATTTAACCGATTAATTCAGCAGTCACCACTCATCTATTTCACATTCGCGTCTGTCTCTTAACCTCGTTATAATTTTTAGCCGCATTATTAAGCCAACAATATGCTCATTCACTCATATTTGAATGATATCTGTAGTAAATTATTGATAATACGCATCAACAATAAAAAAGGAAGGTAGACTGCAACAACTAATCAATCCTCTAGAATACAGTGATAGCTAGGTCGTTCCGTTGCAATATCACATAACTAATATTCGATCGACTGATCACTTTTGATGATGAACGCATGTGCATGTTTTTCAAACAAAAAAACAACTGAATAATCTCTGAAATAGGTAGACTATAAAATAATGATGGTAAAATAGGAATTTTAGCATATCAATCTAGTGATCAAATACAACAGATATAGATCTATCCAAGAAACGCAACAGGATGATTGGAGCAACCAACATTGAGCTTAATCGCTCAATTGATCTGACGATTCTCGAATAAATCTATTTTATAAGTGAGAGTTCGTCAAGTGATCATCCTTCTTACATAATATATCAACATCAATCAGAATTCATTCAGTTGTAATGCTAACATAATAAATTTGATGAATAGTTGTTTATTATGAAAATATACCTAGAAAAGAGCTATGTGCAGCATAAAGCATAACGCATAAAAACCATTCACCCACCCACACACACACGCACACACATATACTTACACACATAAAGCTCAAATAAAAATTTCACTTTATTCAAACAACAATATGTTCAATAGCAGCAGAACACGCAAAACTTTAAGTGAGCACAGCACTTACTTATTGCAATGTGAATATCAATCAATCAGTTACGACTTTAAGCATAGGGCTCAGTCAAAAACCCCAAGGCGCTACGGTTGAAAGTTAGCAGAGAGCACTAAACATTAACAGCCGCATGCAAGAGTGGCCATGCAGCCAGCCAAAGAGATACGTGCTTAGCTCGATAGACCTGAACAATTACAACATAAAAAGAGTCAATCAGGCGTAGTCACTGCTAGGCTATAGTGCATACGAACCTCTGTAGCATTGTCGAGTGCTGCATTGCTTCCACTCGCCCTCTTCTGTATTACAATACATTTATTGTTATACGCTAAATCAATTGAACACAATAAAAAGACGAGCAATGCGTCTTATGCCAAGCTGATAACCTGCATTACAACTGTATCAATTCTTTCAATCGTCAAACTAGCTGCTGATCAGTGATATAGGATGGAGGAGTATACAGATAGACAAATGGAAGCATAAGAGAGAATTACATATTGATGAAGAGATTATGGGAAGAAGGGACAGAAGAATATCTGAACGGATATATTAAATATATAATAGATATATGAATATCTAAGAACTAAAGCATCTGACAGCAGTAATAGTAAAACCTGTAACATTTGCTGCTGTAAAGTATGGTAAAATATACTACAACACCTTCAAGTTGATTTAAATGGAAAAGTTAGAGCTAAACAATTGCTAGAAACATATAATACAATGGATCATTGAATGCACAAAAGAAAGACACATCGATGACTGGATAAGCAGACGGATGAACGAATGAAATAAGTGGCGAATCTCGAAGAAAAAGAGAAGCGAAAATGTGAAATGGACGGAATGGAACAGAAGTGAAAAGAATGGAGTAGAATTATAAAAGACAGCTGCTCCTATGCAAGAATATTCGTAAACTTATTTTTAAACTCACTAACGCCATATGTCACTCACAAATCTGCAGCTTATCCTCTTTAGCAATGATAATGATTACGATGATGATATTAATGATAATGACAATAATAGTAAAAATAATAATAATAATAATAATTATTATTATTATTATTATT